ATTCCATTGCCACTTCTCCCTTTCCTTATTTATAGTCAACTCAAAAAATCTAGGACATAAATCCTTTAAAGGTTTATCCCCTAGCCAAAGCTCTTACCAAAATCCTACTCAGAGCCCGTCTCTCACCTCCCATCTAAACTCTTTCACCAACATATTCCTTAGTCTCATAGATTTCCCACCTATGCTAATGACATCTCTCCAAATCTTAGACATCCTCAAACTCTCTACTGAATAATAAGGTACCTAATTAATCTGGAAATGGTAATGGCCACCAACAACAATGTTAAGTCCATCAAAATTATAAAATATTCTTTTTGAAAATATTAATTTTTTAAAATTCATTGATAAAAATGGTTAATTATTGTAATTATTAATTGATAACTAATAAAATTGGTAATATTTATTAATTAATAAATTAAAATCAATCAATAAATTGATATTTCAAATATTGTTTAAGAAAAAAATTGAAATATCGATAGCCTTAAACACTTTTTGAGGTGGTAATAACCACCTTTATTAATTTTTTTGAAAAAGTGTTGTACAGTTCAAATTATTTTAAACCACACAACTTTAATCATTAGATGCAATGTGCTCCCTATATATTATTGAAAGTTTCCTTCTCACCTAATGGTTCATATTTTATAATTCAGTGTAATTTGGAGTATAAAACATGCAACTCTTTATCTTTTTATGGTACATTCTTACATACTTTGTACACAATTCACTATGGTATTTATATGCTCACCTATAACAACTGCTTTTATATATATATATATATATATTGATGAACATAACAATTGCTTTATATAGTGGTTGGTAATTCATAACACTTTATACATGAGAACACTGATCGGTATATTTTTTAGTTTAATATACTATATAATATATTTATTAAAAAGTTATTATTTTTTAATAAAAAATTAAAGAGAAACAAATTTAAAGAGACAGCTATACATACAACATATAAAAACCGATTAAATTGACTATACTTATATTATATTTTAAAAGCTAAATTAAATAAATGTTGAAATGAATGCCAAACCGAAAGATATACTAATAATTTTTCTACACCTAATTGTTCATATATATATCATGGACAAAATAATTTGTAGGTTTAGGGATTATGATTCTGTAATCTCTTCTCTTTGTTGTTAATGAATTTTGTTATTTGCTATAAAAAAATATTAATCATGAAGAGAAAATATTTTCTCTTGATATATCTAATTATGAGTTATATAAGATGGGATAGTGCTCTTTATTTTTAAATTCTTCCTTACCTGATTCAAGAGTCAAACTTAAGATTTCTAATTTAAAATCTCAACTTTTTCACTGTTAAATTACCCTATTCAAGTTACTATGAAAAAAAAAATATAGAAAAGCCTTAAATCCAACACAATATTGATTTTTTTTTTTTTAAATGCACACAACATATTATACCATTTCAATTAAACTACTCTTGCATATCCAACATTATTTCACATGTATGAACTGCATTTTTAATTAGGCAAGCTAGCCATTTACAGGATAAACAGAAAATTCAGATTATATGAAGGACTAAAAAAACCAAACATTAATGTTCTAGTGATTGAGACTGTTCAAGATAGCCAAAAGGTTACTAGTCAATCTTTCCAGATACCGAATTCTCGTATTGATCTTCCGATTCACCGAGCTGCTTACATTACCGTCATTAATGGCGTCGGCGCACGTGATGTGGTCCGTCAGCGCCGCGCTGGCCCAAGTCTTCATGTTAGCCAGCTGAAACTCCCGATCGTACCCCCGCAAATTTTTCAGCGCCTTCAGCGACTGCTTGAGGCGGTCAACGGAGTCTTTCACATTATCAGCGCAGTCCTTTATAACGGCAGAGTCACCAGGGGGCAAACCCTTCATCTTTGATAAGGACTTAATCACGGCAGAGGCGTTTTTCGTGGCTTTCAGGGTGACGGTTAAGGCAGCTTTGCAGAGCTTCTGGGGATTGGCTTTGATGGTGGAGGCATAGGAGGATAGGGAATTGTAGCAGTCCTCTGGGTATGTGGTGGAACTGCAGGCGGTTTGGACGTAAGTTATGTAGCTGGTGGAAGAGGCTTTTGTGGTTGCGGTTGCGGTTGAAGAGACTGGCTCCATGTTTGTGATCATGAGAAGAAGAAGAAGAATGGAAAGACAAGAGATGGAGAAGATTGAGAGACTCTTTGCTTCCATTTTGCGATCCCTTTCTCTTGCCCTTTGCGCTCTAGATGCAATGACGGGTGTGCGAATAGGGACATAGGGTCCCAATTTAAACAAACACCACTTTGAAACTTGAAGCCTTGTTGAAAATGAAAAAGAGAATAGTGAAGGAACTGATATGGAATATTTTAATGGGCTTTTCTGATCTCACTTTATGATCAAGTTAAGCCCAGAACATGCAATTCTTAAGACAACTGGATTAGATTTTTGGCAGTTTTTTTATTGAAGATATATTTGGAAGTTTCATTCGTTCAATAGCTTGAATTTTTATTAGAGATCTGAAATTCAAAGCTGAAAATAAGTGGATTGAAATTTGAAAAGTTAGAAATTAATTACCACCACCACCGTATATAACTTATTCTGGAAATTAATGGATGCAGAATTAGATAGTCTCGCAGTCCAATATAAAACATTTTCGTAACTAAATATTTCAAACATTAAGAAAAAGATGGGATTATTATCACTATCTATTTTGATAATGTTACACATAAAATTATAAATTGATTTATTTATTCATTATTTTAAAAATAATATATTTTTCTTGTCAAAACTACTCCTTTTTTACTTCTTTTAATCCTAGCCGCTGCAGCCCTCATCCTACTTCATATTTTAATTACGTTGAACGGGGTCGCACACAGTCTCCACTCTTTGGTCGTTTATTTTCAAAGTTGTCCTGTCTTAATTCATGGTGAGCCATCTTCCTTGGGTTAATTTGTGGTCATCCTCTTCTGTTTTTTCCTTCTTTCTTTATACATTATTTAAATTTTTTAAACTTTTTTTTTACTAATGAAGAGTAAATTTTACTTTATATATATATATTATTTTCAAATTTACTAATGAAGAGTGAATTTTTCATGAGTGCAAATGGATGACCCAAAGTAGATTTTTCTTCAAACTTTTCATGCCTTTTGGGGGGCTTTCTTGGATGCACATTGTTTGTGAAATTTAAAGGTTGTGAATTTTGATTCGGATGGATTTACAATAGTAGTTATTAGTACAACATATTAATCAAATTCGTAATGTGGACTGCCTTTAGAGGATGATGTTTAGTTTAAATATTCATATTTTCAATTACATTTGATAGTTGATATTTAACTCTTTTATCATTTACATTGCCAATTATGATTAAGAATGATTTGATTCAGAATTTGTGTTCTTTTTTTTTTTTTGCCAAAATAATTTGATTATTTTAGAGAAAAAGAAAAATAAAGTCAAATTTATTTTTGGAGAAGAAAAAAAATGAAATAGAATGAGGGCTGTAGTTGCAAGGGTTAAGAAAAGTAAAAAGGGGTAGTATTGGAAAGAAAAAAGTAATATTTTTAGAATGATGGTTAAAGATGTCAATTCATAATTTTAGGTGTGGCATTATCAAAATACGTTACCACACCCTAGGGAAAAAA